CAGGCCTTTTATATGATTTACACATGCAAGAAGGTGGTGATCAACTTCAGGCCTAAAAAGATGGGGGTGTGGCGGAATCCTTCGACACATAAACTATATAGTTACTACACTAATCAACTAAATCAGACTTAAATTGAATGAAAGGAAGAGGCCAAGTATCCCTAGTTGAGTGGTTTCTGAATTTAACAAAATTTTGTTGTTGGACAAGTTTGTGGCACGTACGAATTTTTGGTAATATGGGCACAACAAAATAAACGGGAGGTTATACAATATTTGCCACTCAGAAAAATCCACAAGATCGAAAAGGGAAAGCCGTTGAAGACTTGAGCTCTAACTTCAGAGTACCAAGTTTAACTAGATAATGGAAATTATTCTTTTTATCTGAGGATCAAAGGAAAAAAAAAAAAAAACTATGATCAAAATGTAATAGTTGTCAACCTGATCACGATGGCCACGAAGGCGAAAAAGACCCGTCTCACCAACAGCATCCCATAGTATAACATCGTTATCTTTGCTTCCAGATGCAAGCATGGAACCAAGCTTGTTGTACCTAAGGACGGTAACAGCCCCTTTATGTCCATGTAAAGTAGTCTCACAGGTTCCTTTTTCAGTATCCCAAATTCTTATACTACCATTACCATATCCACTGGCAATCTGTAATAATAAAAAATAAATAAATGAAGTGGAAATTCAACATTTCCTTTATTGAAAGTCAGGCAGCTGCAAAATACTGATTTGTTTATAAATGGCAGCGAACTTCCATCCAGTTCTTACTAATTATAACATGAATAACGAGAATAACGGTGAGTGAATTCAGGTCCTGTGCTCGTTTGACATGCTTGACACCAAATTCTGTAGAAGCAATCTCAAACTCTAGAAATCCAATACTATTTTCTCAATTAAGTCTGGAATTACGCAAGAAAAGGACAACAACAGCATTACCAGAGAAGACAGAGCGGAGGCGACGGACGTAACAGCAAGAGAAGGTCCACGAGAGCACTGAGTGGGTGTTAAATTCTTAGTGCAAACACCTTGACGAACATTCCAGACTCCAATCTTTTCAAGAGCTGGAGCTATGAGGTGCTTTCCGGAACTATCGTAGGTAATATTGGAATCGACGGAGACGATCACTCCGAAAGCCGCCGCAGGCTCATATCGGAGGTAAGACTTCACCATTGAAAGGCCGTGGAAAACTGAGGATTCGATCAGGTGAAGAAGAATGCGGCGACAATCTTATGGCTGCAAGGGGCTGGCGTGCAGGCGTGCGAAGCGAGAAGAAAGAGAAAGGGCGGGGTTTTGGAAAAGAGACGACTAATGCTATGAGGGTTTAGTCGGGTTATAACTACGGGGAATAACTACGTTACACGAATAAAAATACTCTACAATTTATATTTTATTTAAAAAAAAAATCATTAATATCTTTCAACTTAAAATAAATGTAAAAAAAAATTAAAAATACTCTAAGCCCATTTTGGTTTCTTAGTTTTGGATTGGGCTTTTTATTGGGCCTAGTTGGCCTTACTTTTGAAATAAAGCTCAATTCAGTTTTTTTATACAAAATTTTCTTTAATTTAATTTATTTTTTAGTTTATTTTACGGTCAATATCAATAATAATTCTCAAATAAATAATTTTAATAAAATTTTAAATAATGATTTATCGAGGTCATATTTAAAAAATTAAATATTATTTATTCATTCCACTCTTTTAATTTTTTTAATAAATATAATGTACTTTACTCCTCCGACTTAAAGCGTCCACATTGGTACCAATCTTTTTCTCTTTTCCAAGTCTCGTTTTTAAATTTATACGTTAACGTCACGTGAAGATCAAGTAAAATTTTTATATAATGGTTTAGGATTTAGTTTTTTTTATATTCAGTTAACAGTAATAATTAACATGTATTCTAATACTTTTAAGATTAACAAAAACTATGTAGTTGAAGCATGTATCGGTCTAGAAATAACGTGCAAATCAATACTAAAAATTAAATTATAAAAGCATCTTAAAGTATTAATTATCATTTTAAATGTAAATAATTAATAATTGATAAACGGGTATCCACCTAATCAAAATATTGTATTTTGGACCAAACAAAAATTAATTTTTATTACGTTTTATGTTTATTTTTTATTTTTTTAAATCTTAAATCCATTTAAATTATATTCAATTTGGTAAAATAAATTCATTTTTTGAGTGGCTGGTGGTGACCCAACAAAAAGACAGCCGACATTGAGAGCAAAATATTTGCAATTGTCCCACATCGGATAAACCAACCAAAACACCTCCACAAAAATCTTATTTAATCGTGGGCCACCGGCCCATTACGAATTTTAATTTAAAATTAAACTTGAATTAAATTAAAATTCTAATTGTTTTGCATTGGGCCCACTGAGAGCCGTCCAAGCGCCGACCATCCGTCGCACCCACAAGCGTAGGGCCCGGTATAACTCTCCCATTTCTACACGACAAATGAAACGTAAATGAGAATTTTCATAAATACCCCTCTTCTTTTGACTTTAATCAATATTGCAGATTTAGTCAAAAAGTATAATAAATTTATGTCAGTCTATTTGTCGTAATAAAAGTTCCTGAATAAGAGTTAGGGGTAAAATCGGAATATGGAAAAGCTATTTAAAATCACATAGTATTCGAGTAGCACGTCTACAAATCTCCACCCATCTTTCGACTTCGTTATTCCTAACAAGATTATGACTCTATTATCACTCGATCAACCAAACTTCCATAATAGTATAATTTGTTTATTTTGAATATAATTTTCGATGATTTTTATTTTAATTTTTCATAAAATATTTCGAACCAAAATAGAGGTTGATTTTGACCTTTTTCCGAATAACTTTAGACTTTAATTTCCATTTCCATATAACAACAAAAAAGCAAAAGCCAGGCTGGCTTGATTCTTTATGTTCCCTACCTTCAAATTTTATTTCCGTATATTTTGACTGCCCTTTCAAATTTTAACTAAATTATTTTAAATTTTATTTTAAAATTACAAGCCAAAATATATGAGAGGGATAGAAGTTTAAGGGGAAATAATAATTCATCATTTAATAAATAAATAAAAGTTTGGTTTTTACATTAACTTTTTTTATAAATAATTTAATAAATTAATTATTTTTGGCCTATAAAATCTACTCTAAATTATTTAATAATACATCTAAACACCTGCCCATCACATAAATGTCCAAAATACATCGTGGGTTAGGTTTAGAAAGTTGGTATTAGAGATAAAAAAAATATATATTTTTTATGCAAAATAAAAATAAAAATAAAAAGCTTTATATTAAGAATTTAAATATGTTCTTAAATAATTAATAGAGATAAGATAAACACAGTTTTCTGAATAAAAAAATGTAAATAAAACCGACCAAAATATAATTAAATGTGTTTTTTTTTTTAATAAAATGAAATTTAAAGATTTGGCGGTAATATTTTAATTTAAATTCTAGCATATTTCATAATATTAAATAAATCAATTATAATAATCAAGAGAGAGAGAGAGAAAATTTTGATTTAAATAATAAAAAAAATGTGCCCTTTTATTCGTGGCTAAAATTACACCACATAATCCAAGCCTCTTGTATAATTATTCTGCGGGTTTTTTTTTAATGTATAATAAATAAATAAATAAATGATTAAAAATGCACTTTCAAGAATATAATAACATATTGTAAAAAGCATATTCAAAATGCACTTTCTTATTTTCAAGCCTATTTTTTATTCTTTAAATAACCATTTAAAAAAATCGTTAATTTATAAATAAATAAATAAATAAATGATATATAATAAGATTGTGGTTATTTGGATGATAGTTTGTCGGATTACTTTTTTTTATCATTGTTTTATTTATCATCAAATTAAATGAAATAAATATTAATACAAAAATTTAATTTATTTGACATTTATTATTAAGCTTTGTTGTTTGTTTCTTATGATTTTCCTATATTTTAAAATAACTTTTTAAATTAAAAGATCGAAGCAGACAAAATTTAAATACAATGTAGGATAATATATATATATATATATATATATTTATGAAAAATGTTTTCCGGAGAAAGCCACACACCATGTCATAAACCAGCTAAAACATTATCCACACAAATAAATAATTATATATATATATAAACAAATTATATTTTTTTCAATTTTTCTCTTAATTTCCAATTTCTACATTAATTTGTAGAAATAAAAAATATTTTAAAAAATTTTAATTACTATTTAGATCAATAAAATATTCTTCATTTTTCTTTTTAATTAAACTGTTTCCTATAACTTTTTTTAAAGTCGATGATGTCAATCATTATAAAGGCTGGTTACCGAATTTTTTTCAGTAACATAAATTGTTGCGGTTCGCTCGTTTCTATTTTATATGACAATTTTGTCTTCTCCTTTGTCGAAGTCGACCTCGACTGAAAGAAAATTGATGAAAGACCCCACTATTAGCTCTTTACCTACTTAAAAGTAGCTCTCCTTCGAGACAGAGTTAGCTCACCCGGTGGGATCACGACCCCTTTATTCTAATAAAAATAATAATAATAAAAATGGAGACAAAATTAATTAAAAAAAAAAAACTTGAAATAAATTCCAAGAAAAAATAAAGTTTCTTAAAATTGAAGCTTTGGGATTTTGAAGATCAAAGAGATCTATATGTGGCGATGAAGGAAAGTGGAGAAATAATTGAACATGTGAAGTGGATTCGATGTTTCGAGAGAACACGCGAAAGCAGACGAAATCCACATCATTTGTTACGTGTCTTTTTCCAAACTCGACACGTGTCGACATGCTTCGCTGGATCTGAGTGTTAATAGAGGCAACCAATTAATAGTTTCAATTATATTTCACAGCCTGGCCATGTCACCAATCACGTTCCATTATTAATTCCTTTTTTCTTTTTTCTTTTTTCTTTTTTCTCCTCATTTATTACCGGCTACCTGTTATAGCCAGTTACGCCTCCCCCCTCTACGTTCCATTATAAGGCAGAGAAATTGGACGTGGAAGTGAACCACTTGGCTTAGAATTTTACTTCAGAGCTCTCAAATTACAGCCATGCCTATCCGTAACATTGCCATTGGAAGGCCCGAAGAGGCTACCCGACCCGATGCTTTGAAGGCCGGGTTGGCTGAGTTCATTTCTACGTTGATTTTTGTTTTTGCCGGCCAAGGTTCCGGTATAGCCTTTGGTAAGCTTACTGACGGTGGTGCCGCCACGCCCGCCGGCCTTATCTCCGCCTCCATCGCCCATGCCTTCGCTCTTTTTGTCGCTGTCTCCGTCGGCGCCAACATCTCCGGCGGCCACGTGAACCCTGCTGTTACCTTTGGCGCCTTCGTTGGTGGCAACATCACCCTCCTACGTGGCATCATTTACTGGATCGCCCAGCTCCTCGGATCCGTCGTCGCTTGCTTGCTCCTTAAGTTCGTCACCGGCTTGGTGAGTTACCAGTACTTTTATTTTAATTATTTTGAGAATGGTTAAAAGGTAATCTCACCTTAGCTAATTTAGGGAATGATCGTAACTATGATGGAGGAACTATGAAATCATTAGAGCTTATGTTTAAAGTATAATATGAAAATCGGTAATTTGTAACATGTTATCAGAGTCATGCTTTAACTTAAATTATATTAATAGAATCTTTAAATGTGGAACAAGAAAGTTGTGAGCCTCGAACATGCAGTTAAAAGTGATTCAAGTGTCGAACAAAGAGTGTACTTTGTTCGAGAATTACAGAAGAGGAGTTGAATACCCACCTTGACTATTTTAAATAGTATCATATATTTATAAGTGAGTAATATATCTATATTTGTATGAGCCATTTGTTTATGCATTGCAGCCCACCGGCAGCTTTGCTCTGTCAGCTGGAGTTGGGGAAGTAAACGCCTTCGTTTTTGAGATCGTGATGACATTTGGATTGGTGTACACGGTGTACGCGACCGCAGTGGATCCCAAGAAGGGCAGTTTGGGAACAATTGCACCGATCGCCATCGGTTTCATCGTCGGAGCCAACATTTTGGCCGGTGGAGCCTTCACCGGAGCGTCGATGAACCCTGCCGTGGCATTTGGACCGTCGGTGGTGAGCTGGTCATGGGACAACCACTGGGTCTACTGGGCCGGGCCTTTGGTCGGAGGTGGGCTTGCTGGGCTCATCTACGAGTTCATCTTCATTTCCAACAACCATGAGCAGTTGCCAGTCACCGAGTACTGAGCAACCACCACCACCACCACCACCTCCCACAGCGGCGACTACTTTTAATTCGGTGTATTTGGTTTGTTTGTCTTTTCTTGTATCGGACGGATGGCTCGTGTCTTATTTGTGACCGTTGATCTTTTCACCAATTGATCATCATCGTGGTAGTCGTCGAGTGCCCTGGGCCTACGATGAAAATCAGGGCTAGGTTGTAATTGATGTACTCTGCTCCTGTCTGCACGTGAATTTTCAGTCTTTTTCTTCTTTGTCCATTTCAATAATTCTCTCAATTTTCTCAATTTATTTTCCACACCCTTTTCTGAATAATGCAGTAGGCCCCACCACATCCAGAATCGCCATAATATCCCAAATTTTATTTTTATTTTTTATATAATTAATATTTAAATGACGTGGATTTTGCTTGTTTAATTTTTAATAAATATTTTAGAAATTCTCGAATTGTTAAGAATATAAATATATTGTGGCCAAAATAAAATTATTAAGGGCTTTTTAAAACAAAATAGAAACAAATTCTGAAGATTTGTTTTAATTTTCTAATATTAATTGAAATACATTTAATTTAGAATGTTAATGAATAATAATAATTATTAAAATTTTCAATCTCTTCAACTAACCTAAAATAAATTCATTATATAAAACTTTTAAATAAAATTTTCAACCCCACATGATTTATTATTATTATTATTGGCATAAAGGGGTTAAATTGAAAATTAGAGAATTTCGAGTCCAAACCGTTTTTCTAAACTTTTTCGTCATCGAACTAATGGGTTAAATTGCATATTTTTTTTGTCACGTCTCCGATCATTACGTGTGCGAAAAGTCAAATCATTATAATTACTAAATTTATGATAAATATTAAATTATGAATTAATTTTTAAAAATTTACACACAAATTGTGTTATTTTTGGGCCTAAGATTTATTTTTCCATCCCTTTTAAAAAGGTAAAGGCAAAATGGCATCAAAACACGTGGCAAGTTAATTTTGTTCCTTACACGTAGATGGGACCCAATTCTCTTATCTTTTCTTTAATTGCCTTTTACTCCCTCGATTTTATTCAATTTACAAAAATGGACAAGTAAATTCAAACTAAACGGCCGCAATACTCCCCTTTTTCTTTTTCTTATTCACTTTTTACTTTGGATAACGTTACTTTCTATTTTTATCGTAACATATTTTTTTTGTTCGCATTTTAGGTATCTATGCCTATCTAAAGAAGATTTTATGAATATATACTTTTTTTTTTATTTTTATATATATAAAAAATAATTGTTACAATACATATTAAATTAATTAAAATCTTTAAATATAAAATATTTACGAGTTATATTGTATCAATTACACGTTAAATATTTTTAATCTTTTTAAAAATAGCGTAGGGTTCGATTAGGTTTGCGGGTTAGTTGGATTGACCCGACAAAAAAAAATGTCAACCTGTACGCCAAATTGAATTTTAAGTTTTCTAAAATTTCAACTAATTAAAAAAAAATATTTTCTAGAATGGTTTAGATTCGGTAGTCTGAAATGATCAATTATCGAGTTATATAAACACGTTTAATAAAAAATGAAAATATAGTCTAGATATCACTATAAGTTTTGATAAAATTGTTAGAAATTAATTAAAAAAAAAATTATAAAGACTAAATCTATAGTTTAACCTAAAAATTTTGCTCGAACAATTCGGAAAATCTACTAAACATGAAAATGGTCATTTTAATAAATTGGTTATTAATAGAAATTTTTATTAAATCTAAGAAATTCTATTATTTAATACATTTTCATACTACCTATCGAACTGATATCGTATCATGATCTTATCCAAAAAAAAAAAAAAAAAGAAAGTAAAAGTTAGTTGAAACGAAAGGGACTTGTCATACAAATATGGAATAATTATATAGAACTTTTAAGCACGGATATTTTTTATTTAAAAAAAAAAACCAAAATTTAAATGGATCGGACCCGATTCTCGATATCCAAATCTAAATCGAGTTTGATACTTATCCATAGTCGCCGTTCTTCTCTCTATAAATTGATCGCTGCCATTGTTCCTCCGTCCTATTATATTACTCTATCTTTCTCTCTTTGGTTGGGACATTCCTGCAACAAAATTCTGCGGTTTTGCCCTTGATCTCTCCGCTCGATTTACAGTTTTCGGTGAGTGAACGTGACGAGTGAGTAAATGACCAAAATGTCCCCATTTCTTTTATTTTTATGATAAAATATTGTTTAAATTAAAAAAAAAAATAGTTTTTTTTAGGTTTAAAAAGAAAAGGAAAGAAAAGAAAAGATGGTAGTGTTTTTTTTTTTATTGTTTTAATAATTCACATTTTTTTAAATTTTAATATTAAAATCAAGTCCTTTAGAACTTGAACCATTAATTTTGAAAATATTAATTAATATTTTATCTCAATCGAATATGAAAAATGACGTAAATTTTGTTTAATAAATTAATAAGTGGATTAGATGCGAACGACGCCGTTTAGGTTTAGTAAAAGGAATATAATTACGAAGAAGGCGAATACTCTGGCGTGTCGCCTCGTCATTGATTTGCGTACAAGAAAACACGGCGGCGGGCAGAGCTTTCCAAAGAATCGGTGGTATTTTTGGAATTTCACGTCCGTCTTCTCTGATATTTTTCTGGGAACTCAAAACTGAGATTCCGGCAAGATCCCTCTCCGAAACCACCGCCCCTATGAAGTTCGTTGCATAGAAACGAAAAGAGAAATGGAATAGAAGAACGATGCACAGAATTTAGATTCTATTACAGTTTGATAATTTTCCCTGTCGGAACTTTTGGTTTGTTTTTTTTTTCTTTATCATTTTTCGCTGAATTCTTGAGTTTCTCGTTCCTCCTTGGGTTTAATTTTATCGATTTTCAGGAGTTTTTTCTTTATATGATGGTGGAGAGCGGAATGGAGGCTTGGATTTCCACTAATGGCGAGAAGTCTTTGATCGATCTCGGATATGGCAGCTTCGGGTAGTTTATCTTTCTTAATCTGCGTCTAAATTAATGTCGATCTGATTTTTGGAGTTTTTAGTGGTTATGATGTTGTATATTTCTCATTTTCTTTGTTTTCCTGTGGAAATGATTCGAAGGTGCTCCCATTATAGAAGGAGGTGTAAGATCAGAGCACCTTGTTGCAATGAAATATTTGATTGCAGGCATTGTCACAATGAAGCTAAGGTTTGCTTCTTCTTCTTCTTCTTTTCCATAAAATTGTGTAAGACGATAGATTGATGAAGTTTCCTGTTGATGATCTTTATGCAGAATTCATTAGATGTGGATCCTCGCTTGCGCCACGACATTCCTCGCCATGATATAGAAAAAGTACGATTCCTTTTGGTTTTCTTTGTAGCTACATTCTCTGAATTGTTACCATTTGTAAATCAACCATCAATCTAGCTTCTAATTTCACTTATTCATGGCTTTTTCTTCTCTGAATTTGTGCTTTCTCTTGCCTTTTTAATTATTAAGATTTGTTTTCTGTTTCAGTTTAGTTTTAAGTTTACTTTGGATTGAATCTTATGAACACGAGATTACGGAACAAAGAAGTAGAGATTAATTAAAAAGACCTTTAAATTTTCTTCAATATGAATTAGAATTCATGAATTCTGAATCTCTCTGTAGGTCATCTGTTCCTTGTGTGACACCGAACAAGACGTAAGTTCTTTCCTTCAACTCCTTCATTGAAAAATATGGAAAGAGAATTTAATGTCTTTTGTTACTTCTTTTAGGTGCAACAACGTTGTATTCAATGTGGAGTTTGTATGGGGAAGTACTTTTGTTCTAAGTGCAAGTTCTTCGACGACGATGTAGGCTTCTATCGACATGTTTATATCGATATTATAAGCCTTGTTCTTAAACTTTTGTTAACTCAAAACCTTTTTTTGTTTTGCTAGGTTTCAAAGAAGCAGTATCACTGCAATGAATGTGGTATTTGCAGGTCCAAACCATTTCCTTCAACTTTCTCTGTATATTTCTGTAGTAACGTTTCTTCCTCCACAGCTTTCACTGTATATTAGATGTATTTTCAGTACATAATAATGTTTTTTGATTCGTTACACAGAGTAGGAGGCGAGGAGAACTTTTTCCACTGCAAAAAGTGTGGTAAGATTTTGTGACCATTTTAAATGATTCGACTGCTTGGAGTTCTCTACTTTTCCAGCCATTGAATTGTGAGATTCCTTATCTTTTAGGTTGTTGCTATTCAAAACTGATGGAGAATTCCCATAGTTGCGTGGAAAAGGCAATGCATCACAATTGTCCTGTTTGCTTTGAGGTGAGTTTCAAAACATTCATATAAACTTGAGCGATGCACAATTAGTTGAGTCATATATGTTTGGCAAAGAGATCAAACGTTTGAATCTCCCACCCTACGTGTCATTCGACTCAAAATAACATAATCGACCAATTGCTGCAGTTTCTTTTCGACACAATGAGTGACATTTCCGTTTTGCCGTGTGGACACACGATTCATCTAGAATGTGTGAAGGAGATGGAGCAACGCTTACAGTAAGTTCAGCTCCCTCGTTACAGAATATGCCTTTTGTTCTGATCATTTGAATGAGTTACCAAAGCCATGCTTTGTATCTTTACTGGTTGGGATAAATCTGCAGATACACATGCCCTGTTTGCTCGAAATCCTACTGCGATATGTCGAGCGTGTGGGAAAAACTGGATCACGAGGTATGGAGCTTCAACCAAACAAATGTGCAAGTAACGAAAATGAACATTCACATTATCTTAACACATTTGACTTCAATTTCAGGTTGCGTCGACGCCGATGCCTCAAATGTACCTACATAAGATGGTTAGTAGTGGCTGGAAAACAATGTTTGGCTTCTCAAAAAGAGACCGCTGATTAATTTGATGAACTGAAAAGATTGCTTTCTGTACTTTTTGGTCAGGTATGGATCCTGTGCAATGACTGTAGCGAGATATCAGAGGTTAATTATCACATTGTAGCACACAAATGCGTCAAATGCAAGTCCTATAATACAAGGCTGACACAAGGAGGGCCCTCTTCATGCTCTCCAAGGATTGCTCAAATTGTGAGATGATCTGATAATGATATGACTAACTTCCAGACAAAAAATTGGTTTAAGGGGTACTTATCTCTATAATTATTTCTAGCATCTAACTTATTATAGCCCATTCATTTAACTCTTAAACTGGTGGTTTCTTTCTTTGCAATTCCACCAATTATTGTGGAAATGTGCAATATTGTATTGTATTGTATTGTATTGGAGCTTATTAATGTAATGTATGGTATTGAATGAGTTCTTTTAGTTGGAAGAATTTTAACTTGGAAATTTTTGATGGGACGTATATATCAGTTGAGTTATGTTTAAGTTGTATTTAATAAGTTCAAATCTTAAAAGCCGATAAATGTCCTTTTAATCCATTTTAAACGTTTTGTTAGATTAAGGCTGAAAATAGAAGATTCAAAAAATGGGAAGAGTTACCAATTAGATATTGGTAATAAAGTTGCTACAACGATGAGATGTGTAGTAATGGGAATAAATGAAAACTATATGTAAATTGTATATTAAATTATAAATTTAGTTTTGAGGTTAATTGGTTTGATAGTTTTAAATTTTTTTTGAATAACTGATATATGATATATTTTCATTTAGGTTTCTACCAAATCGAATTCATATAAGACATCGGTGAATATTAAAATATAATAGTCACCCTCTTATTATTTTATTAAACATCACATATATTTCATTTAGGTTACAAATTTAGTGTATAATAATTTAGTTTATAAACTTTATTATAAAAGGTGTACCTTCTAATTTGTAATACTTTAGTCCGAAGTGTATAATATATCATCAAACTAAATATTTATTACTATTATTATTATGACCATTATCTCTCTGAGATCTTGAGATCAAATATTATTATTATGATCATATCTCTTTGAGATCTTGAGATCAAATACAACAATTGGAAGGGAAAGATTCAATCTTTTGACCTCTTAACCAAGAATATATATAGACATATATGTTAATCATCATTGAACTATACTCGCTTGACAACCGTTATTATTTAATCATTTAAACTTTGTAGCACATAAACGACTAGTTTATTAGATCTACTTAGAAGTCTCATTAAATTTTAACGACAATCTTTTCAGTACAGTCTAAATTGGGATGGCCTGAAAGTTGAGGGACCAAAATTGAGTTTTAATCACCAAACATCTGGCAAAAAAAAAATCTCAGACCTTAAAAATGCACCCCTGGCGCAAGACGATCGTAGTATAACTTCAAATATGTATATATAATAATAAAAATGGATTATCTTCTTTTTAACTCCAAACTCCAAAGTGATACATTCACTTGGCAGAAACAAACCCCGGGTTTAATGCCCAAGTTCATCAGAAGTGGATACATATACAATACAACTAAAAATTCCACGTATTTATGAAATCACATTTTTGTTTAACATTATCAAATGATATCATAAGCGAAATTAGATTGTTTATCCTCATACCTAGGTAGCAAAGGTATATAAGCGGCTATTTGATTGAGTTATTTCAAAACCATGCTGACCTATGATGATTTCTGAATCCTAAATCCCCTCCTTGCAAGGCACGTTGTTGCAGCGACAAACGGGTCGGCCAGACGCTTCCCAGCCATTGAAGCCACGTTCAAGAACACAGATGCTTTTTATTCCAGCATCCTCCTTAATTTCCTCGAGATAGTTGGCAAGCTTCCTTGCGCAAGATGGGCCACGAACCTACAAAACCATTGGGAAAATAAGATTTGTGACAATGCTTAGTTTCTAAAAGTAGAAGCTGAACATAAACAGAAGGGATCTTGAAAAAAATGAGAATATGAGCTTTTCCTTGATATCTCGTTGATGTTCATATGGAAACGTCCGGTGAATGATAATTCACGAGCAAGATTAACCAATTCTTTTTTTCCCATGAATAAACTTCATTCAAATGCAACTGTCCGAACTTGGACAGGAAAAGAAAAAGGGGAACTAATAAGGGGGAGAGAGTCAGTGGAAGAAGAACTAAGTTGACATTAGAGAAGGGGGTGAACTAAAAGTTCCATAATTTCTATGGATTTGGCGTTTTATGCACGAGCAAAATGCTCTTTGGTGGAAATTTATTGTTGCTAAATAGTATGCATCTAAAGATGTATTTGCCTTGGTGTTTCGTTTGTTCGACCACTGTTCTTGTTTCTAATCGAGCTCAAAGATGTCTGGATAAGGGACTTTCTTTCAACTTCTTTCTGACATGATTCATGGTTGAGCTGTGGAATTATTTCTACGACTTTTCCTCGACTTTACCGTTTAACTACTCATCCTCATTGTTTAGTTGCTTAGTTGCTGAAGCTTAGATTGATTCTCAGGTAGCTTGGAATTTGCAACTTCGGTGTGATTATATGATTTAGAGGTAGTTGAATGAGCCCGTCTTTCTTATTTACTCTCCCTAACCAAGCTCCAGAGTCATGATGTTGGTTGGATTTGGCCTCTTGATCCTACATAATCTTTTACTGTTAAAATCTTTTATGGTAAACCTTCTTCGAATATGAATACCCTGTGTAATGTGATTTGGAAAGATTAAAATTTCTCTGAGCTTAACTTTGGTGCAATCAGTACAATGACAAACTATAAAGGCGTATGTCTCATTTTTTTACATCTCCATCCTGGTGTGTTATGTATTCTGCTAATGGACACCTTTGGACATTGCTCCTATGCTACTTGTTATTGGAAAGTGATCCTTCTCGCTTTTGGATACTCATTAACATTGCCTAACGACATTTACGACTTTTTAGCCTCCATTTTTGTGGGTCGTCCTTTCCATGAAGTAAAGAAAATTTAGTCGCTGCTGTAGCTTTAAGATTTAATGAGAAAATCTCACTCAATTTTAACAGTAATTAGCGTCTTTGGGGTGAAAGGGATGGAGGATTCGGGACTCCTTTATCTTTGATAACTTTTTGGAATTAACCCTCTTTCATGTTTTGTATTGGTGTAAATGTAAACACCCTTGTTCGAATTATAGCTAATTGTCTTTGATTTCCAATTGGACATCCCTTTTGTCATGTACCTACAGGTGTTGGAGGTTACACTCCTTTTTACTTCATTTATTAATGAAAATGTTTCCCTTCTTAAAAAAAGTCATGAGGACTTGTGTCTAGAGTAGACACTATTATATCATATTGTCTAGATATGTGGAGGTCCCATTGTCCCTAGCCAGTCATACCAGAGCCATGCCTCTAATTTAGCCATGTTGGTAGAAAATCTGCAGGTGCTGAAAAGAAAAGTTGTAAGCCTTGAAGTCAAAGTCATGGTGGAGGTCCTTGGTTGAGCTCTTATCCAAGCCAACTTCTTTTCTTCGGAGCACATTGCTAATTGGATAGAACTCCACCACATATCACGTTGTGGGTACGACACCACTACTTCTCACACTTGTAGCAATCTCTCCCTTTTAACCACACTTCTCCGACATTTGAGGACTCATCCATAATTCTACTCAACTATGTCTCTCTAAAACTCATCACTTCTCTATTCCACACCCGATGATTTTACAAACACAGCTAAGTCAAGGCTAAACTTGAATACCGCTTGTTAGGGCAACACCTCTCAAGGCTAAACTTCAATACCACTTGTTAGACAACAAATCCTCTACGTATTGCTACAATAGTATGATATTGTCCACTTTGGACAAAAACCCTCATTGTTTTGCTTTTGGTTCCACCCAAAAGGCCTCACACTAATAGAGATAATAAAGATATTGTCTCTCACTCATGTATCCATGATCTTCCTCTTATTTAGTCAATGTAGGACTTTAGTCGCATTCCAAACACTTTGAAGGAATGGAATGAGAGTAAGAGCATTAACAATATTGAAAGCTCTATCTAGATTGAAAAGGCAATTGGAAGACAGAAAATTGCCTCAAAATATTTCTTGAAAGGCCCTAACAAAATAATGTAGATTTTGCCCTTAATTTCACTTGTGAAACTGAAGTTCCAAAGGAATTTGTCAATAGAAAGCAGATTCAAATATCATGGGCGTGGAGGAATAGGAATCCAAGAACCTAGATTTAAGCAGCAAGACAATGTGAAAATGGAGGGACGACTTGTTGGCTATAACATAATACACAATTACTAGAACTTTCGACAGCATTTAATAATTTTGAAGAGAATTCTCAGCCAAAACTTGGTTTGTCCGATTGTACTAGTCCAAGTATAGTGCCCATGATACGTTTTTGTCCAATATATGGTCATAGTACCAAAAAGCAAGATTTTCAAGAATGAAAATATATAGAATATAAACTTAGGCATATGTTATAACTGCTCATGACACTTCATTTGCACAATAAGAATCCACTTAAGTAAGCATTTAACTTGAACATATATAGTAGCAACCCAAGCTGTTGGTAACCATCAGAGAAGTATAGGAAATACTTGTAGCAGAGAAAAAAAAAAAAAAAAAAAAAACTTAAGCCAATACATTTTGTGTTAGCTATACAGAAAGGATACCACTGTTAACATACCCAATTGTTCTAACCTCCAGGTTCACGTCCCAGGACCAAAACATTTTATTCTCTCTTCTATTGGGTTTAACTGTTCAGCAGTTCAACAATGGTCCAAATTCTGTCATCTTAACCTGGTCGAGATGTCGTTTTTACCATGGGCTTCTACGCTTCCATATCTCCTCAGATTTGGAACCCACCCCTTAGTTCGCTCACATACTTATCTGTTTTTACAACACCCATGAATACTGAATTATTTTACTCCTTAACTTGTTTAGTTCGTCTACTGATCTCCGTAGCCATTTTTCTAACAAAACAAAGTTTCTCTTGCTCATACTACCAACCCCAGACCTCTCAATTCCTAATAGAAACTATAAATTAAAAATGAAACAAAAATAACTAGTCTGTTCGGAAGATCATTGCCATGTATGTTTACTTCTCAGCGCATTAAAGTAAAAGTTCCCAAATAAGGTCCTCGTCAACATACAGAGCTAATTTTTCATGTATTAGATTAAACAGAAGGTTTCAGTTTGATTGTGGGCAGAAAACTGCTGGAACCTGTTAACACAGCTCTTGTTTCATTTTTTTAAATAATACAACTATGAAGCTTAGAAGTAAAACAGATGAATGACAGCGCTCATACTGGTTTGAACCCCTATCCATCTCTGATTATACAGATGAGAAGAGAAGATATACAGGACATCAACTTCCGCAGGAGTAAAAAACAGATCACATATCAAAATTCACAAAACTCCAATTCATTATGGCAAACAGAGAGATAACTGAAGTACATACAAATCCGATTAATCCAAATGTGAATTGAAGGACTGCTAAAACTTAAACAGCCAGAGAAATCGATAGAGCAAAAAATGGTGAAATGTGAGACGACAAAAAACAAATTAATAGAACAAGTCAAAGCGGAAAGATGATGATATTTCAAAGATGATTGACAGAATGAACATGAAGGCTAGCGAGAACCTGGCTAAGAGCGCAGTGGAAAACAAGCATGTCTTTTCCTTTCACTTCTTGAACAAGCTTCGAGATCTTATCAGAGAAAGTGTCACTAGCGTAGTGCAGAGATCCGGCAATATGGCCATCGTAACTTCTCTCGTCGTCCCTGCGAGATCATATAACAAATTTTCACATAGATGAACAAACATAGCGTCATGGAAAGAATCCGAAGAGGAATTTCCGCCGGCGATTGTACCTAACGTCGATGATGGCGACATTTGGCATGCGTCTGAAGGACAGGAGCTGAGTTCCAGTGATGTATGAAATGCTTCGAGCCATCTTCAGCTTCAATTTCTTCTTCTTCTTCGTCTTGCTCTAGCCGACGAAGGAAAGATCAGATAATTTTTTTCTCCCTTTCAATCGGATTCGCAGTTTTGATGGATGCAAGGAATCTATTGAACCCTTTTTAAGAAAATTTTTTTTTTTTTAAAAAAAAAACTCCGAATTTCAAACCCAAAAATTATTTAAAAATTTACGCATTTAATCCTTAAAATATAAATAAATTATAATTATAAATTTAGCCTTATAATTTTTAAATCAAATTATAATTTAAAGAACTAGTCAAAATGTATAATTAAATCAATAAAATAATAAATATCAAATAAAAAAAATTATAAATAAGAGATCTAATATTTAATAAAACAATTAAATGTATGTTAATGGATCTAATTTTAAATTTAATAAAATCTTAGATTTTCACTTTAATTTTATATTTAATTAAGTCTATTAAAGAAGGTATTAGATAAAATAATAATAATAATAATTCATATAGAGAAGTGGCTGTAATTTAACCTAAAAAAAATTAGGGAGTAATTTATTGGCGGGTATAAAATAGGGAACCCCGCCTCCCTCAGACGCCACAATCATCGATTGAAGCACAGAGGAAGCGCAGAATCCGAGTTGTATATTTGCGATCTGGCCGTCGTTCTCCATGGCAGAACTTTGCACTCTTTATTTCGTGTTGCCTCAAGTAGAGCCCTATGATGCTGTACATCTGCCCGATGATCTTGACGACGGCGAGAAGATTCTTGATGGCGCGATCCCTAGGCGAGAAGTTAAATCCAAATTAACGCCAATGTATTTGCGTTACGGTTACCTAATGGCTGAAAATCTGCCTCCGAACGCTCTTTCTGAGAAGCAGGTTCTTGATCGTTTGCCTGAAGTCGTCGGGGGCGAAGAGGACGAGAACGGAGATTGTGTTTTTGAAATAAATTTTTCTCAAGAGAACTGTAATTATGTCGTACAATTATTTTTTAGTCCGAAAGAGGAATCTGACGACGACGATGAAGATTCACATCAAGAAGAAGAGGCTTACCAAGATTCTGATAGCAATGATATGGAAGAGATTGGGGAAGATTACGATAGCGATGACATGGAAGAAATTGATGAAGACTACGATAGCGATGATATGGAAGAAATTGATGAAGATTACGGGAGCGACGATGAAAAAGAAAGTTACGAAGATGAACAGAAAGGCGACGAAGAGCTGACTGGAAATCGCGTTTTTGAATTGTATTTTCCGCAAGGAGATCGCAATTATGTTGTCCGATTAGTTTTTGTGAATGAAGAAGGAACGAGGTTTCTTGATGAAGGAGAGGAGTTTCTTTTCGTCGGACTGCAGCGATTAGCCGGAATTTCATACGATATAGAAGAATTGGAAGATGAAGTTCCAGCAATTGACAATAAATCTTCCTCTGCTCTGTCGGAAGTTGTATCGGAGATTTCACGGAGACTGATGGAATCCAAAGTCGGAGAACCTGATGATATTAGAACAGCAGAAGAAGCAGAAAAGCAGAGTAGATTCAACAATGAAATTTGTACTTTCATCGATCCTCAGATGATATTAGAACGACCTAACTATCTAACAGTGCGTGATCATCTGCAGCTTCACTCTTCCGCCTGAACTACCGCTATAATTTGCTCTCTAGATTTGCATTTTTCATCTTTGTCATCTATCAACTATGAACATTTCTCTTGAATAATTTGATGGTGTTCATCTTCTTCATCATCATCATCTTCTTTTCAATCAAATTCAAATTCAAATTCAAAAAAAAAAAAAAAAAAAA